TGTTTAAGTTTGATTGTCCTTTGCGAGATTGAATGAAAGCAATCTTAAGGCTTGTTCTGTACATACAAATGAGATCCAGTTAGCCTCTTTAATGGACAGTGCTCATCAGTCTTGGTTGCTGTTGCACACTTGGAAACCAGATCAGTTCTCACAGCTCATCCATCTATGTGACTTAATGACGACACTCAGAGAGGAGAATAGAAAAGAGCTACATATGATTAATAACACCGGGAAAAAGCAAATGTCAGAAAGGAGTTAGATGATGTGAAAATATCACATTTCTCTTATGTGACATCGACAGTAACAGTGCCATTACTTTATGGTTCTGTTCAAAATGATGAACTCTGCTGTCACCAGCTGCACAACATAAACTGTACAGTAAAGTCTGTTCATTACTGGAAACCTGAACCCCCTGCCCGACTGGGATTTAGTGCTCAGAATTACTGTAGATTACTGTAGTTTTAAGTCATTTTAGACAGATTTCTCCACTGTTTTGTTTGAGCTTTCTCTATATTGCTCTACTGCAATTAACACATATTGTCTTTACTGATTAATTTACTGATTATTCTTTTGTTTAATGAATCAATGTTTTGGTCTAGAAAAGGTCATAAAATAGTGAGAAATCACCCGTGGCATCTGTAGATATGAAAGGCTCATTCTAATGTAGCAAACAACATTCTTATTTTCAGGGTATGATACAGAAATGACAACATACTTATACATATTATTCTCTGCCAATAGATCTTCCTAAATGTTATACACTGGACCTTTTATCCATTAATAAAAACAATCACCCAACTCTTCAGCTCTCTTCAGCTCAACAGAATTTCAGTTTCTTTTAAACTCATTGTTTTAGTTCTCTCTCAGCGGTCTAGTCTAGTGTTACTTTCACCCCTAAAAAATTCCCTGTACTCAGCAGCAGACAGACACAGTTAGGAAGTAGCTGGTGAACGCAGTGGAGCATTTAGCAGCTTGATGCTCCGAGAGCCAGAATTTTCGGGAGTTGGTAGAGACCAAAAACCAAGCTAAAAGGAGAGTGAACGTTGTGAAATCCAGAAACATGACTACAAATGAATACTAATGTTGCTCTGTAACTGCTGGATGTGTAAATAGGCAATTGTTTGCTTTATCAGCTTAAAAGGTAATGATGTATCAGATTTGTGTTTACAGTTAGTATTTGCTGCTCCCAGAGTACACAGTATTAACGCAGGTTTACTAAACCTTCGGACTGACGTTTCACAGTGACTTAGCTTTTAAATAAATAATACAGTGAGTAGTACAGTAATGATTCCTCCTACAGTTGGGAAACATCCAGACATTTTTATCCAATAACAAAGAGGAGGATCTATGCTTTAATCTCATCCCATTTCAGCCTCTTTTTATTCCTGCTCAAAAATACAGCAGCCAGGATTTTAACTCCTGCCAAGTGAAGAGACCGTAATAACCCATTTTTACCCCCCCTGCACTGTTTACCGGTTAGATGTATAATTGATTTTAAGATTTTTTACTGAACATTTAAGGCTCAGCTAAATCTTCCTTCCCCTCAGCTGCACTGGAGACCTCTGAGCCGAAGCTGAGAATGAGGAAATTCGCCAAGTCTCTGGAAGGTCATTGAGTAGCACATCCTGCCCCCAAAACGTACTGAAAATTGACATTTTTCTTTATTGCGCGTAACCGAAAAGACTGTACACTTTTTTATAGCAGGATTGCATTACTTGCCAGGCAGAGAGAGGGCATATTTTTAATGACAGCTTCCAATAGGCTTACATAAGAACTCCAAACAGCAATCATACATTTTTGAACAACCTTCAGTGTCTCTCACATCATATAAAACCTGTCACAGTGACATGAGTGCTTCTATGTCTGCATCAGTGGGCGTGTGTGGTATTTTTGGGTGTTTTTACCCTAAAAAAACACAGTCTCCTTTCCCAAAGTTTCAATAGTTGGAATTTGATCATTTAGAAGAATCTGAAATGTTTGACAGCTCAATATAACACATAAAGTAAGAATAGTATTGTTGTTTTTGTACCAAATTCAACAAGTATGCAGAGTGGTCTTTACTGCCTGGCTTTGTTTGTATGGTGCATGTCACCTTTGAACACTTGTTTCTCACAATATTCTGTCTTGTGCTTTTCTTAAACACCACACTTAGTTATATATGTCTGTTGTTTGTAACCTTTTTTTCCTTATATTTATTTTCCCTTTAGCCTCCACAGTTTAGCTTTTTACTATTCTGGTTTGTGATTTCATAAACTCAGCTGTAGGTGCAATATATGAACGGATTAATTTGCATAAACGGTTATCTCTGTTTTGATTTATTTTCCTATCATGTTGGGTTTTTTTCTCCAGGGCATTTAAATCAAACCGGTATTGGTTTATTCAAAAATGTCTTCTATCTGTTTTTTTAAATTAGCTCTTCATATTATGAACTCATAATTTTTTTTTTGATCGATCAATTAATTATTTATACTATAAAATGTCAGAAAATAGTGAGAAATAGCCACTCACAATTTCCTACAGCCCAAGGTGACATCTTCAAATTGGATTTTCTGTCAGACCAACTGATTAAAAATGTAATTCATTCCAGTGTGGGGAAATAGCAAATTACTGTATTTAAATTAGAGGTACTTGTACTTGATTTTATAGTTCTAGTCCACTACTTTGTTCTCCTCTACATTTATTGTATTTCTGCACTGTGGTACTGTTTGATTTACTCCCTCTAAGTAAAATATCTGAGTACTTCTTCCACCTCTGTTCACTATGCAAAACAGTTGTTCATCACTTTGCTAATTTTAATTATTTTGTTTAATTCATTTCAAAAATCCGTAACCAGTGACACCTTGACATCACCATTCAGAAATGAAAACATACTTATACATATTATTCCCTGCCAATAGATCTTCCTAAATGTTATACACTGGACCTTTTATCCATTAATAAAAACAATCACCCAACTCTCTCATTCAAATGCCCTTCAGAACGTTCAACAGTTAGAGAACCGCTCATACGGCTGTTCAGTACTACGTTCAGTCTGTTGCTAGTTCAAGCTGTCAAGTTCAGTTCAGTTCAGTTCAGTATAGCCCATATATGCAATGTACATAAAGTTAATAGCGCAGTTATCAGATTTATGATGGTCTCTGTGGCTTTTACTAAAATGCGTTTAACGAGGAAGTAACGTACTGTCAATCACAGCTGAGCTGACTGTGGTGTTGTCAGTCACCAGTAAATGGAGCTGCACTGTTAAAAGCTACTGAGTGCAGTGACAATGTTGATTCAGTATAGTCAGTTCAGGTTAAGATCTACTTGTTTGTAGATCTGCTTAACACCTCTAATTTACAAAGATGTAAAATAGAGAAAAGCAGCAAATCCTCATGCTTGAGAACCTGAAACTGGGTTTGTCAAATAACTGAGCTATTAAGCTGTAATATTATTAGTTAACAATTAATTTGCTGTCAATCAGCTAACTGATTAATCGTCTAAATGTTTCAATTCTAGTTCTGTATTTCATTTAATTTGAGCATCAGGTAAATTGACCGGTGCTTAACTCCTGTTTCAGCCTCATGTCACCCTAACATCTGAGACCACTATTAGTATGCGTTTGTCTCCAGTATTGCATTGCATATCATAAGAGACCCGGAGTCTTTTGCATCATTTCTTTCTCATAGAATATACTTTTGAAGTTCTCTCCAAAAGCTGAGGTGCTGATGGGGTGTGCTATGATGAATGATTTAGACATCTGTCTGTTAAATGTGGCTCTTTCTGCCAGAAGGGTGGGTGTGAGCTTGTAGGCACACTGTAGCTGTCGCTGCGTCAGGGGTAATGAGGTGAGATGGGTTGTAACCAGGAGCTCAACCAAGCAAAACAAAGCCATATGTTTGTCTAAAGGTGCCTCCTTTTGGACTGTTTGGGATGTCATTGTTGTCAGGGCAGCGCGTTGTCTGCGTTTGTCTCTCTCTGCTCCCGCGCTCCATCAAGCTCACACCGTGTGTAGCAAACGATAAATAAATGGCAGTCGGCAGCCAATCTGCTTTAGGCAGTGGCCCCAGCCCTTTAATCTTAGCCAACCTCTCCTCCTTGGTTTTTTCCCCTCGCCTCTGACTAACCACCCTTGACAGGGGAAGTGCAGAGAGGTAGGCTGCCTGTCGGCTGCGGGGCAAATTTGAACAAACGAGAGAAATAAAAGAAGGAACGGGAGACAAAAAAGGGAAACTGACAGCTTTGGTACAGGAGAATAATTACAGGCTAGAGTGAAATTAGCACAGGCGAATGGAGAGCAAGAATTGAGAGCAGTGGAGAGAGCGGCAAAAGAAGAAAGAAAACAGGAGAGTGGCTCATGCAGTTTTCTCTAGGAGCAGGTTATGAGAGTCTGCGGGAGCTGCGGGAAAATGCTGAGCATTGTATCTAGAGCTTAACAGGTGTAACAAATTCTAGGAGGTAGTCATTTGCAGAGACTGCTGCCTATGCAGTCACTGCTTTTAGTATAATAGAAATATGAGAAGTTGCCCAACAAGGGAGTGCATCCAGAATGCATGTGTTTGAAATGTAAAGTGAGCAGGGACGCGGAGATGAGAGAAAGATGGTAGGCGAGAAGTGGATGCTATCTACTACACTGGTTATCCCTGTGTGGCTTTTCCTTAAAAGTCTCTCTGAACCAAAGAGAAATTCCCCACTGAAACTTTAACTGAATGTCTTTTTTGTGGCTGAGTGTGTACATTAGTCTTAATACATCCTGTGAATATAGCCTGTAAATCAAGCATAAAGCAGTGAGAATAAGTGCGTGCAATTTGACAAATAGCCTCAATTTCAATTAATAGGACCATTAAAGCTCAGAGGCACACAGGCTCACAGGCCGACGGGTGCATTCACAGCCGCTGTGAGCAAAAGAGCGAATTCACTCTGAAAAACATCACACACACTTACTGCACCCCTTGACATGCACACCCCATCACATCAAGACTTCTCTCTCTTTCAGCATTAAAGGCAGGCAACACGACAGCACACTCAAGGATTACTGGGAGAGGATCCGAGCTGATGGGACCGCTGGCATAATTGTGATAAATGACGGCCTTTTGTCAGGGTGCCGCTCCATGAGGCAAAGAGCATGCTTTTCTAGCGTGAATATGTGGGGGGGCATCCATTCACTTCACCAGTTCCAGTATGAAAAAAAAACATAAAAACACCAATTTTCTGTGACTGCAGAATGGGAGTTGATTGACTTTATTATAAACGAGATTTTGAAAGTATCAGGCAGTTATTTGTCCATGAAGCCTTTTGGCCATGAATAATTTGGACAGACTCCCACATAATAGCCAATGAACTGTCAACACTAAGCAAGTATGAAACACTTTATTAGTTTGCACTCTGTCCTGGAGGTGTAGCTGACAACAGCTGTGGAATAACTTCACAGTACACACATGGTAATATGTCCAAGTCCCCACGTAGTAAAACATAACGTGTCTGCCTCATGACCTACGTGAGGAAACAAGGCACTTAACTGTACTGTATATCCTCTACACCTGCTGCTCAGGGGCAGATCTAGAAAACTTTTCATTTATTTTCATGGAATATTCATATGTGATGATTTCATCGCAAAAAATCACATATATGAACATTTGCTTGGATAAGATATTTTAACTCAAAAACATAAAATTACTGTGGCACATTGAATATAAATATCTGAGGCTGGCATTAGAAATCAATAAATTGTTTTATTTCCGAATCTATAAACATTTTCCCAAATACATGTATTTTTTCACTAAACTTGAGCCTAACAATTGGTCTACAATTTGGCCATAACAGATCATTGTGTTGATTTCAGTTTTCTAACATTATTTTTCAAATTAATCTAAATTAATGTGTTAAATTTGACAGCATTTGACACCAAACTGGGAGGACAGCTCTTGTGGCCAGGCCGCTGTCCCTCCTCCATGCCACCCCTCTTGATCTGCCCCTGCTGCAGCTTTGACCCATAATCCCATGATGTCCAAATACTACAAAACCCACATCTTAACAAATCAGTGAATGAAAAGCTCTGTAATTCAAATGGAATTAAAATGTTTTAACTCTTTCATCATCTAAAGTGAAAAAAATGGATTTGAGAGAGACAGGCAGCTTTTGTTCTCTTCTTCTTTTTGAAAATGACTAACAGAGACTCTGAAACAAGTACCAATGACAGAAGACAGCAAAACATGAATTTTGAATGTGTTGTGAAACTGTAAAGGGATTACTTACATTGGTATTCTGTCTTTGTAAACAATGTACTAAAATAGACCTGTACTGTTGTGTATGTTATAGGATGATATTGCCCATCTTTAAGCCCTACAATTGAAAGGTTTTATTTATGAAAACAGTGTTTTTCATAAGTAGTTGGCATCTTTAGTCATGCACATTTTGCTGTGCTAAAACCACTACTGGATGGTTTTAACATGAAATATATGTGAAGGTACAATACACATCTCTAAATTCAAGTCCAGCTGATGATCAAATTCTCCATCTAAATCAAGGAAAAGACAAAAAACCCAGTTTGGCAGAGATGGTGGACCATGACCCCATGAGTCTGCAGGTTTTCACTCCAACCAAACACCACAGTATTTTACTGATTAATATTTCCTGCCAGGCAACTATTAAGTAATGTCAGCCGGTGTTTTCTTTTGGTTGAATGAAAATCTGGCAGGACACTTGCATGGATGAATCTGGGAGGCCATGACATAAAAAGATTAGATATGAGGAGAAAACGTCCACTACCCATATTATGTTTGTTGTGTTTTTCTGACTCTTCTCTAACCTTGTTTTATTGTGAAAAAGTGGATAGCTTTACCACTTCAGGCCTCTGAAACATATTGAAATAAGAAAAATCTAAGACGGGAACATCACTTGGGATTGTGAGTAGACTTTGATTTAAAGGGACACAAGCCAGAAAGGTTTGGACTCACAGGGATAGACTCTACATTGAAATACTGGAGCACTGTGTGTAGAGTGAGTTTTACTGGTAGATGGCTTTTGAGTCATGTCTCTGTGGTACTGAAGAGGAAAAATAAATCATCACCCCTCTGTATTAAACTTTTCTCTGTGAAGATTCCCTCTGAAGTGACAGAGAAAATGTACACTACAGGTCAAAGTTTTGGATGGCAGAAGAACATTGATTCCCCTCCCCACAAACCACAAGAACTGAACTCAAATTTAACAATCAAACCACAGATGATTGTTCCTGTAAACAGAAAACCTCAAAGGTGTCTGAATGCAACAAATTAAATCCTGTGGCAGTTTGGACAGTCGCACCCTGATTAAAAAAGGGAATAACCACTACTCGATCTCCACTTAAGTTTCTTGAATATTCTGTACAGTCTGATGAATGTGTTCACAGTGTTCAATTTAAAAATACAGTCCCACAAATCACAGCAATGCATTTTGAGTTATTCTTAGCACAACAAAATGTGCCGAAAGCCAAGCTTGCCAAATGCATTTACACAGTTTTGCATTATACCCATCACCGTTGTACTGAAACTCAATATCTGTTTGGATGTGATACTGGCCTGGCTGGTCCGAGTTTTGGGTGTGGGTACATGCTTTTGTGCATGCGCGCATATTCAGAGTGACTCTCTAGAGTTCATGGGAGATGAAAGAGGGTCCTAAGGGTGTCTCTGTGGGCTCCAGGCTGACGTGGGAGAGAGTGTGGCTTTGGGAGCGAGACAGTGTTTGATAATGAGAGGGAGGAGCTTTCCCCTGGGCCTGGCCCTCTCCCTGCCCTGAGCTCTGGCTTGGCAAGGTCGAGTCTCCTGGTTCTGCTCCAGCCACAGTCCCAGCTCCTGCAGCACTGCGCTCCTGCTTGTGTTTCTCCCAGGCTGAGCTCAGCTTCACAGCCAGAGCCAGCAGGTTCTTCCCCAGGAACACAGTGGACACACGTGAGTCCCTGTACCACAGCATGCCTGTGCCCCTCAGGGCCAGGGTGAAGATATTGATAGTAACCAAGCTGAGCCAGGGGTACAAAGCCTCCTTACGGGGCCCCCTCTGTCCTGGCAGGCCAGTGGCCCCCAGCTCTGTGAGGGCCACACAAGGCAGCAGCAGCAGGAGGGCGTAGCAGTAAAAGAAGACCAGGCCCTCGGCCCAGATGGGCAGCCTCTGCTCAACGACGCCTCCAGTCCCTGCTGCAGCCCCTCCTTGGGCTTCCCACAGCCCCGCCTGCAGGTCCAGCACATCCAGCAGGTCCACCACCACCCACAGAAGCCGGCCCCGCACTTCCTGTTTCCTGCGCTGCGGGGTCATGTGGTCAGCTCCTGTCAAGATAAGAAACAGGGATGGCAGACAGATGGAAAGGAGCAGCGTCAGGGTCTTCCTGGCCAGCGGGTCGGGTGGCCGGCGCTCCTGCCTGTAGTTATGGCAAACGAAGAAGAGCTTGAGCTGGAGCAAGGACAGGAAAAGGAACCAGAGAGCGTTGGCAAAACCACGGCGTGGCGACCGCGCCTCTGACACTACGCCGGCCGACACAAAGCGCAGCGCGAGCAGGAAGCCCACATCACCTAGCAACACTGCCGCATACTGCCACACACTAGGTCCTGGAAGACCCCGAGCTCCCAGCATGCTCTGCTCCAGCAGGTAGAGGTCCACCACTGCCATCGTGCTCACCGTGACCAGGGTTGATACGCACACCTGGGGCGTGGGCACCATGCCTGAAAGAGACATACACATACGCACAGTGATAAATCTGTTACAACAGAATTAAAACTCTGCTCACATCGTGGCACACAGTGCCATCTGTCCCCAGTGAAACAGTTCTGCAGGATAAGAACATGCTTGTTTTTTTTTTTCCAGCGAAAAACTCAAACCACATGTAAAAT